ACACATCTTGCAAACGGTGTGCATTGAAACTTTGGCACAGCAAAACATTTGTTGATGTTGCAAATTGCGGCGTGCCCTCTCCCTCTTTACGGGCTGTTTGGGGGTCACCAGCAGGTGGGCTGCCGAGAAAACGCTGCTAATTGAGAGAAAAGCAGATTGTCCCCCGTGGCCAAGCACCCCACCAAGGTATTTCATATTTGCACTGTTTAATATTAGCTGTGTTTAAAAAAGTAACAGCACTCCAGAGATTCACACCCCGCTGCCTGCGCACAACGTACGAACGCCAGCCAGCGACTACAGAGGACCAGCTCCCCGCACTCCTCACACGTTCAGATGAGGGCGGGACTGGACTTGTCAGAGGTGTTTTTTTTAGTGATGGAAACAGAGGGGATGGATTTAAGGACCGCATGTCAGCATCAGCCCACTTCCTGTTTGAACACCTTCATCCTTTTACACCTAGAAATCTCTGTGACTGCCTCATGATGAGCTCTCACTTACAGAACTGCCAGACGATCACTGTTTATACCCTCTCTCTCTCTTTCCTTTTTCTTTTTCTTTCTTTCTTTCTTTCTTTCCTTCCTTCCACCCATCTTTCTTTCCTTGCTTTCTTCCATCAGTCCATCCGTCCATCCATCCATTTTTGTTCTTTATTCGTTTTTGGTCTTTCTGTCTTCCTTTCCTTTGGATTTTGTTTCTTGCTTTCTTTTGGATTTTCTTTTCCTCCATCCATCCTTCCTTCCTTGCTTCCTTCCTTCCTGCCTTCCTTTCTTCCTTCCTGCTATCCCACCTGCCTTCCTCCCTTCCATCTTCCTGCCTGCCTATGTGCCTTCCTTCCTGCCTTCCTTTCCTCCTTCCTGCTTTCCTTCCTTCCTTCATTCCTGTCTTTCTTCCTTCCTGCCTGCCTTCTTTCCTGCCTTCCTTATATGTCCTTTATTTGTATGGTTGGTCTTTCTTTCTTTCTCTTGATTGTTTGTTTTTTGTCTGTTTGCCTGTATGTTGTTTGTTTCTTTTTTCTTTCTGTTTTTCCTTCTTTCTTTATTTGTTCAATCCTTTCTTTCTCAGCTGTATTTTCTTCCTCCACCCATTTTAACATATACTAATAATAATAATAATCATCATTAAGTAAATAGTAGAAATGGAGAAATTGTTGTTTCCCAAAATGTGGGCAAATAAAACACAGTATAAAACACCGCCTGCTAGAAAGCTGCAGTGAATAAAGAAGTGTGGAGTGAGTGTAGAGTGTGTGTGTGTGTGTGGTGTTATGTTGGAGTGGTGCAGCAGTAGAGGAGTGAGTGCAGTTCAGCAGGCTGTGTCCATGAAGGTCTCACAGGAGCCCACCACTGCAAAAATATCAGAGGAGACAGAGAGGAAAACGCCACTGCTTTAGAGACATCAAATCAGCCTGCTTCTGTTCTCTCACAGCAGCTGATGGAGAGACAGAGAGAAAGAGAGAGGGAGAGAGAGAGGCCTACTTTCTCATGGGACAGTCAACTGCTTATGTGTCTGCCATTTCCTCTCTCTCTCTCTCTCTCTCTGTAGTTCAGATTAGGTTTGCGTTTGCACTTTCTGTAACCGTGTTAAAGGAGCATTAAAGCGGCGAGTGATCTCGTCTCGCTCACCCCGCACTGCATTCATTACACACTTCCCCCCTACCCGGGCCGGCGGTGCGCAGCCTCTCCGGATCAAACCTGCACCTGTCCAATCGATACGCCCAAGGCTAGATCCAGGACGAGAGGAGAGGAGAGGCACTTCCTAACTGGATGAAGGAGGCATTAGGGCTCGGCCCGGATGCATGGCAGGCTCGCGTAATTGCAGACAAATTCATCTTAAAGAGCCGAAAGCTGAGGATTGCTTTCAATTAGGCTTGCACTTCGGAGGGAGTCAAGAGGAAGAGGGCGAGTTATGTTGCTGTCTGCTGTCTCAGGCGATGAGTGTGTGTCTGTGCTCGTTTTTGTATATTTTCAGGGCCAAAATGTTCTGGCTTAGTAGGAAAAGCAAAGAAAAACAGTCAGGACTAACAAAACGGTAAAATGTTAAGGGTCCATGTTTCAGATATATGATGTGAGTGATATATTTAATAGATAACAAGCATTATATCCATGGTGCAGTGCCCATAAAATGTGTCTCCATTGTCAAGCAGTTTGTAAATTCTTTTTTGGACACTATGCATAGTATCAGGACCTGACAGTTAACTGGGAGCTTTGGATTGTCAAAGAACTGGTAAAAAAAAACATAAACTTTTTAAAAATGTGTTTTTTTTAGAATTGTGCTAACATATCATTTTACGAAAAGATAACAGAACAAGCAGTCCTATTAAAACAGTCCAGACAGCAAGCACATATCGGTCTGCTGGTTTGAAAAGGTCGGCACCCCACTGACTGTTTGTCACTGCTATTGTCCTGCATACAAGCTCTAACTAGTTTTTAATCTCCTCAAACAGATTTTAAATGCACAGAGACTTTTATTTTAGAAAATAAACTTACACAAATTTTACAAACAATCGAGAGAGAAAAAAATGACTAAGCCTGATATAAAATGATTGTTGCTAAAGCTGTGTTAGATTCAAATTATTTACTAATCAAAGTGTAACTAAAGAAAAGAAGGAAGGAAAAATCAGTAAATTGGACTGAGTAGAAAATGAGTGATGATAAGTGGACCTTTGTCTGCCAGTGGACCGCCAGCTTTGCCATTAGTGGGCCGACAGAGGCCCACTGTCCTCTTGCTATCAGGGAGGCTATGTCAGGTTTATAATACTTTTAATATAATAAAAGTCTTATAAACATAAAGAATATAAAGTAGCATAAAGTATAAAGCATAAAAACCATAAAGTAGCAGTACTCAAAAAGCATAATATATTACATATAGAACATTTTACATATAGATCCTAATTCATAGGGAACATTATTACATATAGGCTTTGTTCGGTATTGATCACAGAAACACACACACAAAAAAAAACCTTACTTGCTGTGTTAAATCAAATTCTGTGCTTCTTTTTTAAACGTTTAAATATGCAATAAAAAAGGGCTGAAATACAGTCACTTTTGCCAAAGCTGTAGGTCATGAAGCTAAGCTAAGATTAGCTCTGGGATGCTAATGTGCTAACAGAGATGAATCCTCAAAGCTTTGACGACAAGCCGCGTTTTACAGCGTTCACAAAGCGAGTTTACAGTGGAATAGGAGTTTAAATATGTGAGATACTTGTGGAAAAATGTATTTTATTAGTGAAAGAGATGAAGAGGCTGAAGTTGGCTTCCTGTTCGAAGTTTCCCGTTCCACCTTAAATGATGCAGCAGTTACATTCTGGTGCCTCAGGCTAGCATAGCAACTGAAATAACTGGAGCCTGTGCAACTGGCACAGCTAACAGAACAAAACATTCTGCTTTGCGAATTAATTTTTTTAAATATGCGATAAAAAAAAGAGCTGACATATTATCGCTTCTGTAGTTCTGCATCTTATTATTTTCAGCCACTGCCAAAGCTGTAGGTCATGAAGCTAGTGCAGTGTAAGCTGAGCTAAGATTAGCGCTCAGATGCTAACGTGCTAACAGAGACGAACCCTCAAAGCTTTGACCACAAACCGCATTAATTACAGCTGTACGCGTTCATACAGAGTGTTTACAGCAAAATATGAGCAAAATATGTTAAATAGTTCAGGAAAAAAAGGTTTTCATCAGTGAAATTGGTGTGACGAGGCTGAAGTTGGCTTCCTTTTCACCAGCTTCTTGTTTGAATTTCCCATTACACCTTAAACGGTGCAGCATTAACATTGTGCCGAAAGCTCTCAGGCTGGGCTGAGTTAGAGAAATATCAGCCGTTCACCGATCGAATATTTCTGATAAAAATCATCTGATACTGATACATATCCGATCAATCCTTCCATCTCTAACAGCTCTTCACGAGTGCGCTAATCAGTATTTAGCTTTCATTACTTGATAGCTAACTACATTAGCCTCTTAATTCCAGTGCAAAACGATAGAAACACGATGTCCAGACTCCTTTTGTGTTTGTACACTTGCTTTGTGGCCGAACTGTTGCTTGTAGCTGAGTGCAGTGAGGTGAAAGAGTTAATAAATATTCAGACGAGTTTTTGTTTGAGTTGCTACATTAAAACGTCAGGATTTTCAGTGCGATCTGAAACACATGGTTCAGTACGGCGCGGTGCTGCCCCCCTGTCTGTCCGCCATTCTCTCTCACCGTTTAGACCTGTCAAAACTTTAGTCGTTTGTCTGGAATGATAAAAAGGCGATATCATAGCCAGTTTTCCGACTGATTGAAACGTCTCAAATTTGAGCTGAAGGCTGACGGCTTAATCAATACGTTTCAAGCTACTGCGGCTCTTTGAAGCAGACAGGCGGGAGGACGGACGGACAGACAGAAAGACAGCAATACTCAGAAGACTTGTCTGCTGTTTTGACTGACGCTGGAGAAATACTGAGGGCTGATAGGTGCGTGTTTATTCTTGGTGAGATTACTGATTTTATTTATTATTATTATTTTTGGCTAATTATTGTATCGTAATTGAGGCATATAGGCCTCTTTCCACTCCCGTGACAACAAGGCAAAATAAAGACAGTAGAAATATTAATAATAGAAAAAAAGATGCTTATCAATCAAATGCTAATATAACCGTCTTTTCTCCAGGCTAAAAATAGTGTATCTAAGTGCAAAGTAGACGATATTAGAAGAAGCAGCAAAGGAAAAGAAAGTGAAAATGAGAGAGAGTGAGAAAGAGAGACTATCAGGAAGACCCCAACTAACATGAGTAGCGCTTGTTTAATATCGCCATCGACCTGATATTGTTTGGTTTCATTGATTAAGTGGTTGTCTGTCCTGCAACTGACTGGCCACCTGTCCAGGGTGTTACCTGCCTTCCGCCAAATGACCACTGGGATAGGCGACCCAGAAGGATGAGTGGTCTAGAAAATGTGTGTGTGTGCGTGTGAGATCGTGTGGTGTGTTGTTTTAAGATGAAACTGATTGATTAATCTCTCGTTCAGGTGCGTACGGTCCGGAGACGGGGTGGGCAGCGGCCTATCCTGAGTGCCAGGAGAGGAACCAATCACCAATCAATATAGCAGATCAGGATACCAAAGTGTCCATGGAGTATCAGGAGCTCACCCTGGACGGCTTCGAGGCCGAGTCGTCTAATAAAACATCGATGAAGAACACAGGAAAAACTGGTGAGTTTATCTCTGTTCTAGCCTCTCTCTCTCTCTCTCTCTCTCTCTTTCTTTCTTTCTCTCTCTCTCTTTCCTTTCTCTCTGTTTTTTTTTTCTCTCACCCATCCACTCTTTCTCTCTGTCACTCTCTCACTCTCTCTCACTGTTGCTTTCTCCCCACTCTCTCTTTCCTTCTTTGTGTTGCTTTCTTGCTCTCTCACTCCTTCGCTCTCTCTCTCTCCACTCTCTTTCTCCCTCTTCTCTGTATTTCTTTAAATTAAACTTAATTCAGCTCAGTTCAAGGTGCTTTATTGGTCTGACAAATAATGCTACATCTATTTTGCGAAGGCAGCGGGTCACTGAGTTTGAGATTTTTAAACAGAAACTCATCTGTTTGAGAGCGGAACGTATTAGAGTTCAGGAAAACACTTAACAAAACAAAGAACTGTTGAGGTTACATTGTTAAACTTTGCAAGACTGCAGAGCTGTGATTGTAGAGTTGTAATTTTAGAGAGAAAGGATAAAATAATAACCAAAAACTTATATATATATATATATATATATATATACAAACATTTACATTTGTATTGTCTAAGCACAACAAAAATGTTCTATATATTAAAAGTTGATTAAAAAAACAAACAAAAAAACAAACCAGGATTAATATGATAATGCAACAATTAAGAAGAGAAAGCGTTAATTGTCAATAAATAATATAAAAGTACATGTAATAATAAAACAAAACCTATTGAATATGTGTAGTTTATAACAGTTTATAACACTCTCTCTTTCTCACTCACTGTCTCTCTACGCTCTACCACCTGTTTCTTCTTTTCTATATTGCTAATTGCGCTCTCTTTCTCTCTCTCTCTCTCTCTCTCTCTCTCTCTCTCTCCCCTTTTCTCTCTTTATCTCTCTCCTCTCTCCCACTTTTCTGTATTTCTTTCTTGTTCTCGCTCTCGTTCTCCCTCTTTTACTCTCCCTCACCCATACTCTCTCTCTCCCCCACTTTCTCTCTTTTCCTCTCTCTGTCTCTCCCACTGTCTCTTCGCTCTCTACCTCTCTTTCCTTCTTTTCTATATTGCTCTCTCACTTTCACTCTCTCCCTCTTCCTCTCTCCCTCTCCTTTCTCTTTCGCACATTTCTGTATTTCTTTCTTGCACTCGCTCTTTCTCTCTCTCTCTGTCTCTCTCTCTCTCTCTTTCTCTCTCTCTCTCTCTCTCTCTCTCTCTCTCTCTCTCTCAGAGATCGATAGACTGTCTGAAACTTGTATAATAGAGTTGAGATGTGAGGGGGAAAGTGGGCCACAGGTGTCTGTGTGTTTGTTTGGTTTTTTTTTTGACGTCGTCACCTCAGCTTGACTCCTCACACACGCGCACACCAAACACACCACCACTGAAGTGTCAGTTCATACGGTTTACCTGTCTAAAGTGTGTTTTTCCACAGTTTTGGAGGTACTTTCTACTTTGCAGGGTCGTGTAGGTTTTCAGGTTTGTTTTTTCCTTTTTTGTTGAGTTACGTTACTTCAGTGATGTGCTCAGACTGCAGGCGCTGACGTACTGACTTATTTGAGATTTTTGTTGTCGCTGTGCATAGACAAAACAGATATCGAATGGAAAAAAAGTGTTGTGCTGTAATAATCAGATCATCATCTCAGGGGTGAAGGTTTAGACCCCGTTTACACCTGCTCGCTTAGTGTGTCCTGAGTATCAGGATTATATGTGGACAGAGATTATCCACATAAAAACACTTAAGCAGGTGATCTGAGATGCATGTTTATACACATGCAAACACGTCTGTCTCTCCAAGATGACCAAAACTCCTCCCTCTGCTGTTCTGCATACGGGGTGCTGTATGTCCACCACTAAACAGAGGCTCCTACAGTTCAGCTCTTGACGCAAGTTTAATTCCGTGGCCTTCAGCGAGAACCGTGAGCGCTAGTCAGTTTGTCTTGTTATTCACTTAGGGTTCTCGCTGATCCTTACAAAGGCTTATCATTTCTTAAAATAGATTTTCACAAGTCTTATATTTTTTACTATTAGAGGTGTTTATTATTATATATTATTATAGAGATTTATTAGGAGATGTCCAATCCCAGCATGGTAGATCTGTATTGTCTATGTCAGGGGTCGGCAACTTGTGACTCTGGAGCTGCACATGGCTCTTTTACTGCCGTGTTGTGGCTCCACAGCAGAATTAGATTTGTAGGTAAAAATAAAATAATCCTTCATTGCAGTAAAAAAAGCTCTGCTGATCGTTCAACACAGTTCTAACAATAAATGGTCTGAAACGCTGGAGTTAATATATAACTGCTAATTCACGCTTTAACCTTGAAGGTTGGTGTGCAGACTGTTGGTCACCATAGCAACGCAGACAAGGCCTAGCTAGAAGCTAACAGAACGGCAAAGAGAAAGATTTAAGGTGATTTGGAGACAAATGAACTTATTTGCATTTATAATCACTCCAGCTGGTTTCCTGATATGTTTGATCTGCAACAAGAAACTGTCAAACACTAAAAAGCTGCTTGTTCGAATTCTCCCATCCCACCTTAAATGGTGTAGCAGTTACATTCTGGCGTCTCAGGCACGATTTAAGGTGGAACGGGAGAATTTGCAGAAGAAGCTGGAGAATGAGAAGCGACTTCAGTCTCGTAAAAAAATCAAATGTTGAGAGACATTTTACAAGAAACTATTTCATTTTTGAGGGATGTTTCCTGCTGGAGATGCGAGAAAAGCTATAGCTGAGCTAAAGCTTAAAGCAGGGCAAAGTAAGTCTGTGTTTTCGTTTATATTTTTTAGCCAATATTAGTACATCAGCACATACTGAGACATATTTACAGCCAAGATGGTAAAATGGGCATTAAATGTTGTGGTTCCCAAGGTGGTTTGATTTTTGTTGAAAGGACAAAATGGCTCTACTTAACATTTGGGTTGCTGAGCTCTGGCCTATCAGGTTTTTTATGGTTAATCACATTTTCTCTGTAATTTTAACCATTTTTTGAGCTTCAGGTTGGAAATTCTTGTTTTTCTCCTACCTTTCTTTGAGTTTCTCCTTCCTTATGCCAGAGGACTATCTTATATCTATCATAAGAAGAAAAACATCTCCTGAAAAATGAGTAACTTGCACTTAATTGCTGTTGTTACTAATGATTTTAAAGCTCTAAATGTTCTATACGGTTATCAGTGAATCTGTACAGTTTGGAAACTGTAAATATGAGAGAGGTTGACACCTCTGATCGTCAGCATCTTATTTGAGGTCCATGCACCATTACATCCAGTTCCTCTTTGCTCCTACCTCTGTCCCTCCTTATAATCTATGCAGAGTAAGATAAATGGCCCGGTGTTGGCTTATGAGTAATAGAGACACGCTCTGCTATATATAACATTCACCTGAGTGTTTTCTTTTTTTTTCAGCTATTTTTTTTCTTTGCTTTACTTTATGAAGCAAAATACACCTGCATAAAAAATAAAAAGCTTTCACAATGCTTTAAACTTCCTGCAGGCTTTAACTCTGACCTCTGACCCTCTTACCTTCAGCCTGCTCAACATCAGAAGGCGTGTGCGAGCGTGTGTGGGTTCCGATAAATAAAACTTTAAAAGTAAATTCATGATCCCCTAAAGACTTCAAGAGAACAGTGAGCATTGGTCAAGGATTTCCGTCCAGTTTTCAGTGTTTTTACACTGTTTCTCAAGGTCCTGCAGGCGTAACCACCTTAAAATCTGCCCGTAATAAATCTGAATCACAGAGCCGGGATTGCTAATGAAACCCTAGAGATGTTGCGCTTAAAGGAAGCCTCTTACCCCAGATGTAGTCAATCAGCCCAGACAAGTTTGGTGCCTAAATTTGGTTTCTTCAGTTTAGCATCTGAGCTACGATACTAACGTTGCTAACAAGCACCAGATGTCAGTAGTTTTCTGTAAATCCAGCTCTCTTTATCAGATTCCTTAATCGGATTTTCTAGACCTGACTCCAGTCTGAGAAATCGAAGTTTGCTTTTTACAAAAAAATGATCGTTTGAATAATCAGATAACTACAGAAGTCTGACTTTGATCGGTTTATTAAGTGCATGTAAACACGCTCAATGTTAATGTACCCTGAAGGGTACAACTGTGTTCTTTGAATACGTTTTTCCTGGAGGAAAGTTTGTTTTTGTACCTTTTCATAGCCTAAAGTTTTGTACAGAGCAATAAAGTAAAAAGCCTGGAGACGAGACGAGGTGCAGAATTTCAGTAGATTATGGTACTGTTATGTTCCCTAAATAAACAAACTGAAGACGTACCCTTGAGAGTCACCCCAGTGACAGTTTAGCACCTTTTTTCTGGGAGTTTAATCATTCAAAATTAATTATTTGTTTAAAATCTATGTACCTTCTTGGTGGATTTGCAGTGAATAAGCATTTAGATGATTATCCAGGCATCCACAGGCCCGTTTAAAGCCATGTTTAACATGCTGAAGATTCTCCACAAGTAGGTTTTGTGTGAGAAACAGAGGAAATCCATTACTATTTTGTCATTGTTTGACTTAAATAGCCTCTAATTATTTTGCGAGTCCTTAAATAATCAGTAACTTGATTACTGGTATAATCAGTAGGCACAGCCGTGTTGTGGATTAGGGTCTGCACCAGCTCAGCACTGAGGAGGTGAAGTGATGTGGAGAGAGAGAAGGAAGAAGTGAGTGCTGTTGGTTTTTCTCAGCCATGATCTGAAAGCTAATGCTGTGTGTGTGTGTGTGTGTGTGTGTGTGTGTGTGTGTGTGTGTGTGTGTGTGTGTTCTTTCTCCTGGCACCTTCAAATGACTCAGCACAGCTAAGGTGGTGAAAAGTGCTCTCTCTCTCTCTATCTCTCTCTCTCTCTCTCTCTCTCTCTCTCTCACTCGCTCTCTCTGACTCTCTCTCTCTCACTCTCTCTCTATCTGACTCTCTCTCCCTATCTGACTCTCTCTCCCATTCTCTCTCTCTCTCTGTCTCACTCTCTCTCTGTCTGACTCTCACTCCCATTCTCTCTCTCATTCTCTCTCTATCTCACTGTCTCTCACTCTCACATTCTCTCTCTCTTTCTCTCTCTATCTCATTGTCTCTCGCTCTCACATTTTCTCTCTCTCTCTCTCTCACACTCTCACTGTCACATTCTCTCTCCATCTCACACTTTTGCTCTCTCACTCATTCTTTCTTTTTCTTTCTCTTTCTCTTTTTCTTTTTGTTCTTTCTTTTTCTTTTTTCCTTTGCTCATTCTTTTTTCTCTTCCTCTTTCTTGCTTTTTTCTTTTTCTGTCGTTCATTCTTTATTTCTCTCACTCTCTCTCTCTCTCTCTCTCTCTCTCTCTCTTTTTCTCAACTCTCACTCTTTCTCTTGAAGCATTGATTGGATCAGATTACTTGTAGTGTGCATATAAACTGAGATTTTCCTTCAGATTGTTGAGTAGAGTGAGCTTATAAACACCTCAGTGTTAATCTATAATCTGAATATATTCAATTGGATTGGGAAAAATCTCTGCATGTAAACACAGCCGGTGACACGTGACAGGGAAAACCTAAACTAAAACACAGCTAAAAAAACTGATATAGCATTCTAGTGTAGCAGTTTGACCTCAGGTGCGTAGTTGTGTTAATATAGACTCTCCTGTGCCGGTGATGTAAAAAGCTGGGTCGCTCATTTCAGCCGAGCACTTATGATAAATTGGGGCAGAAATCTCCTGTGTGAAAGAAGCGGAAGTGGAACCGATTCTGCAATTCAATCAGAACGAGAAATCAGTCAGACAAAGCCTGCGTCTATTTAAGGTCGTGTTGGTTAATTAAAGCGCGGCCTTTTTTTTTTACAGGAGGCCAATTTGTGAATCTAAGTGCTGCACAGAGAGAGGAGGAGGGAAAAATGAGCTCTTTCTTTCAGATCTAGAGTCATATGAAATGACAAAGGAGTTGAAAAAAGCAATTTGAAATGCCGGAAAGGAGATTGCTCCTGTCGGCTGAATTAGCACTCCATTTGAGACCTTGCCTTTGAGGCCAGTTGGGACAGACGAAAGAGGCCACATGTAATATTCAGCTCTTCCCCTCTGAAGGGGCTAAACGAATAAACCCTAAATATCTAGTGAAAGTGTCCTCCAATCAGTGTCCCTCGTTTCAGCCCAAACACAAATCTGTGAGCCGCTCTCATCTTATGTACACAGCTTTCTAACATCGAGCAAAGTGAGCCATCAGCATGTTATTCTCTTTATCTCTCAGTGAAAAACTGCAGCTGTGCTCTGAGTGGGACAACAAATCCAGCTAAAAGAAAAAAAAAGGGAAACAAATCTGTAATTAAGCTCTTTATTACAGTTATAACCTTTTGTATGTCATTTATAACACATTTTATTTTTATGTACTTATATGATTAGATTAGATTCTAATTATGTATTTAAACATTTATAACACCTTTATAACCTTTATGTATTTACCTCTCCTTTTTATGCTTATATTTTTGTATAGTAATATAAAATTTAACGTTCATTTTCATGTAAATTGTAAATGTTTTTTAGTAATATTTTATGACATGTATTTTATTTAGGTGCATGTTTTATTTAAAACATTTATATGTAACCTGTTTATCTCACCAGTCTCATAAAACATTTATAACGTGTTTGTTTGTTATTTTTGAATTTAAGTTGCATTATTTATGTCTTTTTATAAGGTCTTATATAAAAAGAAATAATAATAGAAATAAGACAAGCAGTTTTTGTACTTTTATAAAATGTTTATATTTATAGAACATTTATACCAGATTTATAGCCTGCTTATAAGCTACATATAGATGTTTATGAACGCATATGTAATTTATATTGAATTTCTGAACAAAGTTAACACATCCTCTGCACATCTAAATGCATAATCTCTGTTTGTTTGCTGAATTTAAAATAATGGGAAAAAATAAAACATAAAATGTGGCCTGTGCAAAAGTTATGGCACATTTTATCTTTTAATGTATTAACCATTTTACTGAAATTTTGCAGAATGTCATATTTATGTTCCCCGTAGTAGATGTGTTATTTTCACAAACTTGTTATTTTCAGTAAGCAGTTATTTGTATTTCTCTCTCTCTCTCTCCCTCTCTCTCTCTCTCAGTGGCCATCCTGCTGAAGGACGATTACTTTGTGCGAGGCGCTGGCTTGCCAGGTCGTTTTAAAGCTGAGAAGGTGGAGTTCCACTGGGGTCAGAGCAACGGTTCAGATGGCTCAGAGCACAGCATCAACGGCAGGAGGTTCCCTGTGGAGGTGAGAAGCTGCTTCATCTCTCTGCAGCCTGGACTCTTTACACCGAATCTGATCACAGCCAGAAAACACGGAGCCCCTCGCAGGAATCACAGTAACACTTCGGCTAGTCCCATCAACAGAGGCACACCTAATAAAATGTGCAGCACTGTGCCCTCTCCTACTAAACTCAGTGCTCGTGTTGGAGCACTTCTGATTGGAGCTGTAAATCTAGAAATCTCTGCCTGACCTCTCAAACTTTTAGGCCAGAATGAGCAAGGTTCTAGCTTTAACTCACAAAATTATACATGAGTTCTGTATTCAGATGAACCCTTTAGGATCAGCTGACCTTTCTACGCTCTGCCCACAAATGCACTCTTTCGTAGCAGCTGTTGTAAGTGTGGACAAGTTTTATGAAACACTGACAAAAATCCTTCTCAGAATTGCTACATAATGTTGAGTTTCCAGTTTACAGTGCTGTCCTACCGAGTAGAATATGTTGTTGTAACTAGTGGGCTAACTGTCTGGCTTATGGTCACCTTATGGACTCTTATCATCAAAGTACAGCACAGTTTTATGCATCTTTGTTGCTTACGTATAAAGTGATCATTTAGCCTTTTTCACCCTGTTAGGTTGTTTATGGAATAATAACTTGTGTATTGGCGCGTTTATTGAGTGACAGATCTCATTAGCTGATACATTGTGCTGAATCTAGAAAATAGCTATAATGCTGTCAAAATACTGTCAAAAATGACAGCACAATCGTGCAGAACACAAAGGTATGCAGAGGGTGGCCAGAGATAAGATTCCTAGTTCAGCAGTAACTGTAGGTGGAATTCAAGTTCAGCGTTAACTGTGGGCAAGATTTCTAGAAGTTTAACATTAACCATCGGTGAGATTCTTAGAAGTTTAATATTAAGCATAGTCAGAATTTCTAGAAGTTCAGCCTTAAACATAGGTGAGATTGCTAGAAGTTTAGTGTTAACCATGGGTGAGATTTCTAGAAGTTCAGCGTTAACCATAGGTGAGATTTCTAGAAATTCAGCATTAACCAATTGTGGGATTTCTAGAAGTACATCTTAAATCATATGCAAGATTTCTAGAAGTTCTGTTCTAACCATAGGGGCATTTATTGAAGTTTAACATTAACCATTAGTAAGATTTCTTGAGGCTTAGCATTAGGCATAGTCAAAATTTCTAGAAATTGAGCACTAACCATAGGGGTAATTTCCTGAAGTTTAGCATTAACCAAAGTCAAAATTTTGAGAGTTTAACTTTAACCATTTAAAAGTTTTCTAGAAGTTCACCATTAACCCTAGGTGAGATTTTGAGAAGTTCAGCATTAAATGAATGATTTTTTGGACTTCAATGTATTACCATAGATAAGATTTCTACAACTCCAGCTGAGGTGAAGATGCGTGCCATCATCATGTTAGCAGAATGGGACATTAGGAATCCCAGCCCAAGAGAAATGGGAAGAAGGGAGGGAGAGTGCGGAAGAGCGCCAGAGTGGTACGGAGGGCGTTCCTGTATCGATTAAACAGCACATTATGTAGAGCCAGTCTCTCCCGGGGCTGACCGGCGGCTGATACGTCTCCCTTCTCTCCCCCTGATTTATCATTATGGCAGGCTGGCAGCTTTTACACACAATAACAGCTCCTTTTATCACCCTCTTCAAACATGCAAGCACTTCTCTCACATGGCTGCCAAGTCCAGGCCGGCTTTCGCTCTTAAGTGGAATGGGTGTCATTCTGTTTCATTGTCTCACTTTTATTAGCCCCCCACCACCTCCCTGCCCAGTTTAGCAGTTAGCGAATAAGCTAGGGGGATGGCTACAGCACCGATTTCCGCTTATTGGCAGTTAGGTGATGTCATCGTGCCACAAATCACATTACGACAGGGTGGCTTCAGTGCTAAAGTTTAATGTCATCCGCAGGGAACGCCCCAGGATGCTTAACACAAACCCAGAGTGCACATGCCTTCATGATTGACAGAAAAAAAATCTGTTTATCATCAGAAAGGTTGTTTTGTAAGATTTGGGGCCTTTTCTTTGTTTATCTGCAAATTTTAATTCATGAAGGGTACAATCTAGAAATTCAGCATTAACCATAGGTGAGATTTCTAGAAATTCAGGGTTGACCACAGGTGAGATTCAGCATAAACCATGAGCAGAATTTCTTGAAGTTAAGCATTAACCATAGGGACATTAACTAGAAGATCAGTATTTATTGTTGGTGAGATTTCCCAGTTTGTTATTAACTGTAGATGAGATTTCTAGTTCATATTACCCATGGATGAGATTTCTAGAAGTTTAGCATTAACCATAGGTGAGATTTCCAAAAGTTCAGTGTTAACAATATATGAGACCTCTAGAAGTTTAGTATTAACCATAGGCAAGATTTCTAGAAGTTTAATACAACCCCATTTCCAAAAAAGTTGGGACACTGTGAAAACTATAAATAAAAACAAAATGCACTGATGTGAAAATCATTTAAACCCTATATTCCATTGAAAATGCTTCAAAGAGAACATATCAAATGTTGAGACTGAGAAATGATATTGTTTTTTGAAAAGTGTATGCCCATTTTGAATTTGATGCTAACAAAACGTTCCAAAAAAGTTGGGACAGGGGCAACAAAAGGCTGGTAAAGATGTGTAAAACTTCTGAAAAATGCTGTCTATTAGAAAACAGTTCATCGCTGCATCCACAAATGCAAGTTAAAACTCTTAAACACAAAGAAGAAACCATATTTAAACAGGATCCAGAAACGCTGCCACCTTCTCTGGGCCCGAGCTCATTTAAAATGGACTGAGGGGAAGTAGAAAAGTGTCCTGGGGTCCGACGAATCAACATTTGAAATTCTTTTTGGAAATCATGGACACTGTGTCCTCCGGGATAAAGACCACTCAGCTTGTTATAAGCGCACAGTTCAAAAACCAGTATTCATGATGGTATAGGGGTGCATTAGTGTGCATGGCATGGGTGACTGGCACATCTGTGAAGGCATCATTAATGCTGAATGATATATACATGTTTTGGGAACATATGCTGGCATCCAGATGACATCCTTTTCAGGGAAGGCCTTGCTTATTTCAGACCTGCCACCACTGAAAACATTTGGTGTATTATGAAACTAAAAATACGACAAAGGAGATCCCAAACTGTTGAGCAGCTGAAATCCTTTGTTAAGCAAAAATCGGAAAACATTTCACTTTCAAAACTACAGCAGTGTCTCCTCAGTTCCCAACCACTTACAGAGTGTTGTTAAAAGAAGAAGTGATGAAACACAGTGGTAAACATGCCCCATCCCAACTTTTTTGGAATATGTTGTTGGTATCAAATTTAAAATGGGCATGTGTTTTTCAAAAAACAATAAAATTTCTCAGTTTCAATGTTTGACTTGTTGTCTTTGTACTATTGTCAATGAAATGTAGGGTTTAAAAGATTTGCACATCATTGAATTTTGTTTTTATTTACATTTTGCACAGCATCCCAACCTTTTTGGAAATGGGGTTGTATTAAGCAAAAGTGAGATTTCTAGAAGTTTAGTATTAACAATAGATGAGATTTCTAGAAGTTTAGCATGAACCATAGGTGAGAGTTCTAGACGTTTAGCATTAATCATAGGTGAGAGTTCTAGAAGTTTAGCATTAAACATAGGCAGGATTTCTAGAACTTTAGTATTAACAATAGATAATATTTCTAGAAGTTTAGTATTAACAGTAGATGAGATTTCTAGAAGTTTAGTATTAAGCATAGGTTAGATATGTAGAAGCTCAGCATTAACCTTAGGTGAGATTTCTAGTTCATATAAGTTCATATTTACTCAAAGGCAAGATTTCTAGAAGTTCAACATTAAGCATAAGCGAGGTTTCTAGAAGTTCATTTTAACTGATCAGTTGAACAGTTAAACCATTGATCTACTGTACTTTAGCATTTTCATTTAGATGGCTTGTCCTTAAATCTAAGGCATCTAAGATTCTTGATTTTTCACATATGGTATTTCTACACTTATGATGAATCGTTTTTTGTGGATGGTTGGGATGAGATGATATGAAGAAAATTGAATTTGCATGTTTTGACTGTAAGCTATGAACACCTAGTCATTTCATAGGTCATGAGAATCAGGTTGTTTCCTGTTGGTGTAGCACAGTGGATAACACAGCTGTCTTCCGTGTGGCAAATCAAGGTTCAAGTCCTTGTCTGGGCGAGCATACCACGCTGTACCAGTATGTTCTTAGCCAGATGTTGGACAAGTGTAAATACATCTGTCACTCCAAGCCACATGAATCAAGACCCCTCCTGACTCATTACATCATATCAAACAAAACCACAGTAACTAAAGGCCATCACAAACACCAGATGTCCAAAAATTTGAAACCAGCAGCGTTCTCATTGTCTCAAAACGCAAATCCTATTTACATACCTGTCAATCAAATGTGTTAACCTGCCCTCTAAGAAGTGTCTCTTGATTCTTTTTAAGCACAAATGCCCTAGAAAACACCCTAATACAGCAGAGTAATCATGGAGGGCATGCATGATAACATAAGATTAAGCTAATTCGCCATGCCATTCAAAAATGAAGAACCATAAACAGCACGTCTAAGACAAGATTTCACAGTTCATTTGACTAAGTGTGAATGCATCAAATCCACATCTTATCAGCATTCAAGCCTAGATTGAATATTAAACTTTAGTTTTTTAGGCACAGATTAGTCGTGTGCTTGTCTGCTCAGCTTCTCAGCAGAGAATTTCTGTTCAAAATGTGCTTTTGTTTCAGTTTTTTCCTGTGTGTGTGAAACAGGCCTGAGATTTCTGCTTTACAGCTTTTTGTCAGTGTATTTCGAAGATGGGCAGGCTTGCAAGAGAGTGGCACACGGCTTTGCTCTGACTTTGATTAGTCTGGTCTGTTGAACTGTGAAGATCTGTGGTCTGTGGGATTGATTATCCAAGTCTGCCACGCTACGTGTATCGGTAGTGCAAAAGCCGAAAGAATGCAGATGAGCTCTCTCTATTCATACTG